CTCGGTTTTTCTTATTTACAAAAAATCTGAAAATCACTTTTAATTATACTAAGCGCAAGATAATACCAATGGATTATCATAACTTTGATCACATGCTTTTTGCACATGGAAACTCATTCTAAAGTGTTACTGAAGGAAAATATACTAACAACAAACCTCTTCCCGTTAATGGGGCTGAGCTTGGTTAGACAAAAAAAATTGTGGGGCTGCAGTCTACATCTTGTGGGCACACACACACTGTAGTACTTACGAAGTGAATCAGCCTTAACACTAATAATTATTCATTGTGTGAGAGAGCTATATAAGAGGTTAAGACACATTTTGAGGCAGCTCCAACAACCCCGCCCCTAATTATCATAGCGTTTGATAAATTACTTCAGTATTCTGTTGTTAATAATAAAGCTTATTTTAAGGTGTATTTATAAAGATATAGGTTACAAGTCGAAAGGGTAATATCTTTCTACTGCAATTCATTAGTTAATGTGTAGAGTTTTAGTCACTTTATCTAAGAAATGATATTGATTATTGACAAGTTTTCACAGGAGTGGTAATAGGATAATATCGAGAAATAAAGGTTATCTTTTTTTTTTTGAGAAAATAAAAGTAAGATATGATTTTATCGAAGTTTACAAAATTATTCTGATGATTTAGTTTGATTCACAGAGCTTATCACCAAACATTATAAAATGAAGTTTGGTTTGAATTTTGCTCAAAGTTACACTAGCTGTCCCTACTTTATTTTTTCTGGTCGATGAGTCTATAAAAACCTATATCGTAATATTACAGCATATATGTGGTTTAAATTGGTCAGAAATAATAATAATAATTATTGCCCCATTAAAAAAATAAGTTTCCAGTAAATGTCACAGTGAGCTTTAGTCAACCCTGTTCTGTAAACAGGTTGCAAAATGCTCTTCGTATATGTGCGTTGTCTTCTCAATAGATGGCGCCTAGTTCAGTGTTTCTGATGTTTGAACAGAGGCACAGCGGTATGTCTACGAAGTTACTCTTCTAGAAACCGGGTTTCGATACTCGTGGTGGGCAGAACACAGATAGCCCATTTGTAGCTTTGTGCTTAATTACAAACAATGTCTTTGTACAAAGCGACAATATTTTATACTAAAATCATATTTGTCGCTTTTGGGGGGGAAATTAAAAGGTTATAAACTTCTGATACTAAAATAATATGAAACATCTACTTTTTTACATTTAATTTATAATATTTTTGTTTTATCTTAATATGTATATTTTGAATGTCATCAGAAAATTTTAACTTGTACATAACGGAACTGGTCTATTCTACATACTGAACTCATTTAAAACTTATCAATAATATGACTTGAGAAATTGATCTGAACACTTTACAGTTTACAATGTTTAGCCGAGTAAAGCAGTTTTTATTGTTTTTATACATTAAATGGTTTCAGTATAGGAATAAAAACCTAAAGCTAAAAAAAGGCATAATAACATAAATTAACATCGACAGTACCAGGTGGTGAAAACAAAGGTGATAAGGAAAGAAACGCTCTAAAGGTGCAGAAGAGAGAAAAACACTTTTTGAAAAGCGGTGATGTATAAATTGTACAATTGAGGATGAGTGTCGTGCCCGGGAAACGGCGACAAGGGTCACACTTGTCATTATTTTAAAACCATTTATGCGAGTTATTTTCTAATTTTAAAGCTTATCAAACGATGGCGCCCGTGTGCATCCACGGAACACTTGCTTTCGTTATGTGTGTTTGTTTGTTTGTTTGTTTAAGAGCAAAGCCATATTGGACTATCTGCCGTGTTCATAGCGAGGAATCGAACTCCGTTCTTTAGCGTTATAAGTCTTTAAACCTACCGTTGTCCTACTTTTCGTTGTGTCGTTGCAGAGCAGATTTGACAACGTATTCAGAACTAAGCTATTGTATTATGTTTAAATCTTACTAATATTTGTCGTGTAATAAATAAATAAAGAAATAAAATATAATATATGATGATATAAGTAACAATACAATCTTAACTTAACACATACTAGCATACATGTAATTATATATATATACACGTTCACACCAAAACAACTCCAAATTTGACGGCAAGTCTAATTACGTAAAAAGGCTAAGAAGGAATAGAAGTAGATCGAAAAGAAAATTATAAGTACATTCTTTTAGTAGATATTAATTTATATACATCATCATTTAATTAGACACTCTACGTTTCGCTTTACAGCTTCTTCAGGAGCGTTCACTAAAACACGAACTGAATTTAGAAAATTAGTAACTAAAATGTTATTTATTTTTATCCAACAGGTAGTAAAACGTTAAATATAATTAGTTATCACCCTCCACTAAATTTTCCTTTACTTAAGTTCTTGCCATTATATCCCCATTAGTGGTTATCAAAAATTTTAAATGTCACCCCTCTCTGACCATTTGGTAGAGAAAAACATGCTGAACCATTTCAAGAAACCTGATTAAACCCCATACAATCAATATGTCTCCCGTTATTAATACATCAGTATCACCATTAACAACAGCCCTGATATCAGTGCATAATATCTTATTAACATCATCTGTCTAATCAAGTGACTTATAACAGTTGTCAATTAAAAAGTTTCTACTCTAGAAACCCGTTATTGTAACCGCTATAGATTCAACCTATTGACTATCATGTGTTGTTCCTTCATTGACAACATCAAATTTATCCCTTATACAAGGACCCACCCATCCCCTCTTCTAATGAGTAAATCTCTATTAAGTAACTAATAACTTCTATTATCATTATCCTACCAACCTAGTCAATAACTCCAGTTATATCATACTCTACCATTTCACTAGTCCTGAACTCTTCTATTCTCTTCCTAATATTCATGACATTAGTCATAGCAACTAAACTTTTTTACCCCTCTGGGTTTATCTTTAAATATGATAGACTTATCTTTAAGACAGCTAATTAATTTGATACTCTAAACCTCCCATTTCTAAACTCCTCCTTATCCTAGCTATATGTAAGTTTAATTTAAACTATTTTTAATGTATATCTTAAGAAATTTCCAAGTATCCTACTACCTAACCTGTTTAATTTGTGCCCATCTCTAGCATATAATTCACCCTCACCCTGAAAACTATTCCCGAAGACCAACCAGCTTACCTGTTACTCTAAATATCCCTGGTGACCTTTATTCTTCCTGAGTAATTAATTTCCAAATCTAGCCTGAGAAAGCACCCCCAGAAAGGATCACACGCTCATTTCTGCCCATAAACTTCTGATGGAGTTCTTTATAGGTTATAACTAGACCACAGGTTATAACTAATAACATTATTCGCTCCTTCATGCATTACAAGGAGACAATGTTCCTTGGTAGCAGCAACTAAGCTATCAGCACACTCCCTGAGCCTTGTATTTCAGCACCTGGCAAGCAAATTCTAGTTCTAGTTTTTCAATACCTCTTGCTACAAACAGCTTTATCAGCATGGTGAGTAAGAGACTGTACACCTCTTGATCATCTCCTTCTTCATTGCAAGCAACCAAAATTTCTACTCTGATAACTGGAACTGCACTCATATAGTTGTGTGACTTGAGGAGAGACTATCATTAAACAGAGTGGGAGTATCCCAGTAATTAGCGTGTAGGGCTGTGGGTCAGAAAGTCCAAGATTCAAGCTACAGTGTTAAAAAAAGTGACAAACAACTCAATTATCCTATTCGAGAAGCAAAGCAACTCGTATGTGATGGTGTGTGTCGCTGTAGTTCAAAGTTAGGGAGGGTTATACCTGACACATAATAGTCTTTGAACTGACCATTTATTTCATATGCAAATATGGTACGGTTCAAGTTGAAGATGCTAATTTTCAATCTTTTATTAAATAAAAATTGCTTCATTTTGATGACGAAAAAAGCCAAGTCAGCCATAACTGAGGTTAAGCACAACCCTTCTTATTCACCATAGTTTCAACGATGTTTTCAATTCAATTAGTATGGAAAATGTCTCGGTACACCCCTTATCTGTCAACTAAACTCCTTTCAAAAATTTCAAGCTTAATTATTATGAAATATCACAGTACTCTTTCATCACATCAATCTAACCCACAACTTTTGATACGAACGAATCATTGTTTTTCTACGGTTGTTGTTGTTTGTTAATAAGCACAAAGTTACATAAAGGTGTATCTGTGCTCTGCCCACCACGAGTATCGAAACCTGTTTTTTTGCGGTATAAGACCGAAGGCATACCGCTGTACCACCGAGGGGCTTCTAGGGTGGAATCAGTTCGGTAGATTAATATCTTTGATAACACAACTTTTTGGACGAATTTCTTTCTTAAATTTATTTGCGAACGGCCCCACGGCGACTCAAGTGGTAAGTTTTAGGTCTTACAACACTAAAAATCGGCACTCGATCCCTGTGGTGGGTTTAGCGAAGATAGCTATTGTACAACTTTGCACTTAACAACAACCAAACAAATAATCAAACAATACATTAGGGCTCTTTGTCACAGATTATATTCTCAGCTTTACCTTTGGAGAATGTAAAAGTAATTTTTAATACAAACATTAAAGAGCTGGTCCACTGTATAATATTGAATAATAAATTAGGCGCAACGCTGTTATATTATTCATACACCTAAATACATTTAGGTTCCTATATAGTGAGTTAAAATGGAAACTCCATAATTATTATAACCTATCCATGTATGACACAAGCATAATCATAGCCAACCTGTCGT